CTTGATAAATGTAAAGAGTTAACAAAAGGGCAAAATTCTTCTTTAAATCCATGTTATAGTTATAGGCCTTGGAGAGAGTCCTGAGGTAGTATGCAAAACTAAATGTAATTCTAAGTTAAAAAGGAGCATTATTCTGTAAAAATGCTTCATAGAGTTACCTCCTCCTGTCTACAGCTTAGGGTCATGGTGGTTAACAAGTATGCAAAGTTTCAAAGCCATATGTCAATGGACTTTAAAAATATTTGAGGTATTACAAAAACTTTAACATAAATTCTAAGTCGAAAAAGGGGCATAATTCTGTCAAAATGCTTGATAGAGTTCCCTTCCTCTGTCTACAGGTTGGGGTCATGGAGGTGAACAAGTTTCCGAAGTTTCAAAACCATATGTCAATGGACTTTGAAAATATTTGAGGTATTACAAAAACTTTAACATAAATTCTAAGTTGAAAAAGGGGCATAATTCTGTCAAAATGCTTAATACAGTTACCTCCTCCTATCCACAGGTAAGGGGCATGGTGGTGAACAAGTGTGCAAAGTTTCAAAGCCATATGTTAATGGACTTTGAAAATGTTTGAGTTATTACAAAAACTTTAATATAAATTCTTAGTCGAAAAAGGGGCATAATTCCGTCAAAATGCTTAATACAGTTCCCTTCTCCTGTCTACAGATTGGGGTCATGATTGTGAACAAGTGTGCAAAGTTTCAAAGCCATATGTCGATGGACTTTAAAAATATTTGAGGTATTATAAAACTTTAACATATGTGGTTACGCCAACGCTCGGGTGACTACAATAGCTCTTCTTATTCTTATCGAATAGTCGAGCTAAAAAGTGGAGCTAAAAATTTGTACCTTTTAGAATGTTCCTTTGGTTTAAGATATCATAGATAACATTGTACAAACTAAGAAATAATTCATTTGAATGGAACAGAATTATATGTTAATCAACAACTTAAATCTGCAAGTTAGAATATACTTGAAAGAATGATAAAGTTATCTATTATCTGTTTATTTCAATATTTTATTCATGCAAAGCATTTTATAAGTATGTTTTCTCAAGAAATAGTAAGTAATAAATTTGAAGGCTCAGCAGTATATGTGCATTAGATCTCACAAATGAATTGCTAAATTTCATTTTAAGCAATTATAATTAAATATTTCATTGTTGTACAAATTACAAATGTAAAAGAACTTAAATGCATAGAATACTGAAAACACTATTTTCCTACCCTTTTGTAGTAATGCTGTTACTCATTTTCTTTCTTTACTAATACTTTAAATTCTTCTCTGAAAAAAAAAATAATAAAAGATGATGGGTTTTTCTTTTTTTGGACAGATTTTTAAGATCTTTTCTTTAAAAAATAAGTTATCTCTATATATAATTATTATATAGCCAGTTTAAAATCAGAAAAGTTTAAAGTGTCCAGATAGCTCAATCAGGGTTGTCATTAAGAGGCGGCAGAAGGCCAAAATGCCTGTCTCAAATGCATTATGGGCCGCCTCAAAATTAAGAAAACACTCTTTGTTATGCATGATAAAGACAGAAATGACCGCCTCAAGTTCAAAACAAACCTTCTGCAAAAAATGTTAATGACAACCCTGTCAATAGGTAGAGCGTTAGACTGTGAATCGGTCAATCCAGGTTCAATTCCCAGATGGTGCAGTTAACTTTCCTTGTGATTGATCATGATGTCCTTTCTATTGTCATTGGCATTGTACCTCTGCTCTGGCAAGTACAAAAGTAATCAGTTCCTTGCTAAAGTAAAGGCAACTAGTACTGGTAAACTGTTTGACATCATGCCCTGGAAGGATGAGGTGGCTGAACTGTGCTCTGGTAAATTCAATGTGGCTTACTGCCATGATCGGGAGTGATAACTACCAACACCACCAAAGTACAGATGGGCTGACTGTTACTTTTGGTCAACTGACATATTACAATCAAGATTGTCATATGCGACTTTCCAAGGAACATAAGTCAAACAAGATCACCACTATGCGGAGCATTATATGCCCGAAAGTGTTTTTTTTTTTTAGTAAGGATGAAGCATTTGTAAAACATGGGAAGTAAATAAAGTGTTACCTCCTTCAAATAGCAAACCCCCTATGAAGTTTGAATATTGTGGGCCAAATGGACTTAAGTTGTGCTCCGGAAACTGTTTTCAGTTTTTAAGGTAATAGTGACCTTGACCTTTGACCTTGTGACCAAGAAATCTATAGAGGTGTTCAACCTTATATGGACAATCATCCTATGAAGTTTAAACACTGTGCCAAATAGAACTAAGTTATAGGTTCCGGAAACTGTTTTAGGTTTTAACTTTTAAAGTAATAGTGACCTTGACCTTTGATCATGTGACCCCAAATTAATAGGGGTTTCTACCAAATATGGACAATCATCCTATGAACGGATGGACGGACGCCAGGGATATAACATAATATGCCCTAAATTCTTTCAGGCATATAAAAAGGTCACACATGACTGGGTGTCTCTTAATACAGTTGCAAAGAAAATTGAAATTTTAAAACCATCTATATACCATTATGTACTTTGAAAAAAAAAATATATAAACAGAAATCACACTTTCTGTGCATACATGCAAAATCCCAAATAAATAATTAACTCTACTTGCACTGCTGGCAGACAATATTTTTGCTTTGACTGAAAACCATTTTCTGCTATTTATTAACTCATTTGTAGCTCAAAGTTCAGAAGCCAATATCTTAGTTTCCAAGTCAAATTTTGGTAAACAAACTTTATTTCACTCTTAATGAAGCATATAAATGGAACATAATTTTATATCAATATGTTTTTTAAGAAAATGGGGCTTTAAACAAATTAAAACCAAAAGAAATGCCCATTAGCGAGTCTAGGAAAGTCTATAACAGACTTCTTTTAGAAGCTTATGGCCTCTCTTATCTTATGTTACACAAAGTAAACGCTTATAAATACCTCAGCTTTAAACATTGTAGTTACATGTATTAACTGTGTTTTGTTATATATTGGTAGGCAAAGATAAAAAATTCCATTCATCCGCTAGTAATTACAAGTAGAATTTAAGAGAACCCAATGCAGCACGAGCAGAAAATGTTGCCTGTACATTTGATTTAGAAGCTTCTTGTCCTGCAGGACAAGTGACTCTGAAAATATTTTTTGATGCCTGCCGGTAGTTCATAATTACAAATATCAATGTATATGAAATTCCCGGGTAAGACATTTTTTAACCCAATGGCACGATTTACTAGCTTTAATAGATGTCCAAAAAGCATTATGCTACATGCTGCTGCATATCTAAGCTGCAGGTACTGTAGATTTCTACAGTCATGAGGATGTAAAGTTTGTTTTTCCTAAATGAGTCAATACCATCTAAATACTTTACCCACAGGAAAGAGCAATTTCGACACAACTAGTATGATTTATTTATATTTTATTGAGCACCAAAAGGTGATGCTTCCTACAAAATATTTATCTAAGCTCTTGGCATTGTATTTCTGAGAATACTTGAACAGATTATTTTTTTTACGTCCATGTTTAGCTCTGGTAAGCTACGTATACATCAAGCTTATGTCTATTTTTTGTAACTTAAGTAGAGGTTCACCAAAGGATCATCCCAAATCCACTACAAGAGGACAACAGATGGCAAATGGCTGACACATTGCCATCACAAAAGCTAAAAAAATCAACACATTAAAATATTATAATACTTTAATTTTTGTCCATTTTGTCAACATCATTGATTTGAAATCTTTATTTATATAATTATATAAATATATATAAATATTTTACATGTAGATCTATATACTTCACAATCCAAAGCATCACATGATTTGCTTATTACTTACAAAAGATCCTTAAATATTTTTTTTTCCAAAATGAGACAAATAAGCTTCATTTTGTCATACAAGACTAATTATTAGCAACAAAAATAATAGTATGGGATACTGGTATATTATTATAAGTATTTGTACATAAAAATTTATAAGCTTTGTCAAAATGTTATTGACCACTTCACACCAGTACTAGTGCCTTGACAATTGGTCCAGTAATATTCACATAAACCATTTCCTTGGCTAAAGGTTTTTTTTGTGGCCCTATTGATGACAGATATTGAGTCAAGTTCCCAATGCCAAAAAAGTATATTCCCCCCCCCCCCCCCCCAATTTCACGGAGAACATTCGCGATCCAGGTAAAAAATAAATAAAATAAGTAAAATTATTGTTGTTTAGTTACATTTAACTGCACTGTGCCATAGAAATTTGTAATCTCATAGCAGGCCTTTTCTTGCTATTTTTGGGAAAAAGTACCTTGCCCAGTTTGGGAAATTTTGAGTCTTTAAATTGCTTTGGGGAAAATAACTGATACCTTTTGTAAGCTCCTTCGTGCTTCTTTGGCATAGTACATGTATTTTAAATTGTGCACAGTGGTTTATTCCAACCAATGCAAGTATCATTAAAAGCATACAAGATACATTAAGATTTGACAATCTAATGTGTGGAAACGTCAGTTTGATACCATATTGAAATGAACTAGCAATTTTTTTAGTTTTGATATCGAGAAATTTAAGTTCAATTGAGAATTCTTTTTTTAAGGTTGGGAAAAAATAAGCATATTTGCCATTGGAAATGGGTCTAGTAATTTGACCTGTGGTGACACTAAGAAAAGGCATGACTAGTAATATATGCTTTTGAATGAAATATACAAGGAAGTTTAATTAACCAAATACTTGATTTCTTTCTTTGTCTTAATGAATGTATACCATATGTTGTCAGTTTTTCCCAATTTGTCTAAGACATTGTAAATATTCCCAATTTCGGGGGTCGGGTCGTATTCCAAAAGTACTGAGAAAAAAGATAAACACTGACTAGAAACCTGACCTGACATGACAGCAAGAATCTTCAGTTCATGTTTTTATTTGGATAACTGAAGAAATGTTTTTTTGGTTATTTACATTAATTAGCTATGTGTGAAATACACCAGTGAAAAGTTTTCATGTGTAGAACAAAACTTGTCACTGTCTATTTTTGGAGTATGTATGATCTTGTAAACAGAATGTACTGTCATATATAACAAATCCATCTTCATGACTCTTCATGTGATTGTCAAAATCGACTTTTAATGTAAATGTTGTAGAACACAAGTGACATATGAAAGGTTTTGTTGCAGTATGAACTCTCCTGTGAGTCCTTAGTGACACAGGGCAGTTGAATATTTCCTCACACATACCACACTTGAATGTTGTATCACCATTATGAAGTTCCATATGAATCTTAAAAAAATCAGAATGATGAAATGTTTCTTCACATATCTCGCATTTGAAAGTTTCTTCTTTAGTATGAAGTTTCATGTGTTTCTGATATATATCAGACCGATGAAATGTTTCTTCACATATCTCGCATTTGAATGTTTCTTCTTTAGTATGAAGTTTCATGTGTTTCCGATAAACATCAGACCGATGAAATGTTTCTTCACATATCTCGCATTTGAATGTTTCTTCTTTAGTATGAAGTTTCACGTGTTTCCGATATATATCAGACCGATGAAATGTTTCTTCACATATCTCACACTTGAATGTTTCTTCAGTCTGAATTTTCATGTGTTTCCGATAAACATCAGACCTATAAAATGTTTTTTCAGGTATCTCGCATTTGAATGTCTCTTTTTCAGTATGAAGTTTCAGGTGTTTCTGATATACATCAGACCGATGGAATATTTCTTTGCATATCTCGCACTTGAATGTTTCTTCAGTCTGAATTTTCATGTGTTTCCGATTAACATCAGAATCAGACCGATAAAATGTTTCTTTAGGTATCTTACATTTGAATGCTTCTTCTTCAGTATGAAGTTTCACATGTTTCTGATAAATATCAGACCGATGGAATGTTTCTTCGCATATCTCACATTTGAATGTTTCTTCTTTAGTATGAAGTTTTACATGTAACTTATAAGGTTCAGAATGATAGAATGTTTCTTTACATATCCTACATTCATAAATTTGTACATGTTTCTGAAAAAATTCAGAATGACTGAATGTTTCCTCACACAACTCACATTTCAATGTTTTCTCTTCACTATGAAACTGCAAGTGATTCTGATAAACATCAGAATGACTGAACAATTCTCCACATATATCACACATGAATGGTTTTTTAGTATGCAGTTTCATGTGTTTCTTAACAAAATAAGCAAAATGGAATGTTTTCTTACATATTCCACATTTATATGGTTTCTCTCTTCCATGCATTTGCAAGTGTAAGTTCAAATTATACTTTCCACGGAATGACCTCTGGCATAAAGTACATTTAAATGGTTTTTCTCCAGTATGAATTCTCATGTGTCTCATTAGGGAACTTGCTAGGGTAAATGTTTTAGAACATATCCCACACTTGAATGGCTTTTCTTTAGTTTGAATTCTACCATCTTTATATTCAACTGCACAATCATGTCTTTCTCCAGTATGAAACTTTTGATGATGTTTTCTAAAATAATAACTTTGACTATAGCTTTTATTGCATATCTCACATTTGTATGGTTTAGTATGAACTCCTGAATGTAAGGTAAGGTTATACCTGTCACGGAATGTTTTTCCGCATATCAAACACTTGTGCTCTTTTTTTATGGTATGCATTTTCATGTGTGACCGAAGAAAAACTAAACTATTGAAAACATTCCTGCATATCTTACACTTGTATGATTTTTCTGCAGTATGAATTTTTACATGATTAGAAAGATAACTTCTTTGACTGAATGCCTTCTGACATATTTCACACTTGTATTTTTTTTCTCTGATTTCTCTAGTATGAATTTTTTCATGTCTAGAAAGACATTTCCTCTCTCTGAATGATCTGTCACATTTTTTACAATTGTATGGTCTTTCTCCAGTATGTATTGTCATATGATTCTTTAGAGAATTTAAATAAATAAAAGTTTTCTCACATATCTCACACTTGTGTGGTCTTTCCCCAGTTATTTGGAATTCCATACCGCTGACTATAAGAAGGAAAACAAAATTGTCAATATCTTAAAAAATAGTTTCAAGAAATTCTTATTTAATCAACTTTATCATGGTCCATGTGTATTACATATACTAGATACGCTCTTTATATTCATACATTTATTTTTATTATTATGTTTTCTAATAATGGGTGTCTGTCTTAGATTTTAGTTTTTGACTGTGTTAATTTCGTAAGTTTTTTACATTTTAAATTGCAGATTAAAATGATGCACTTACATTTTAAATTGCAGATTAAAATGATGCACGGAGGACAGTATTATGTTTAATGATAGATAAAATGAATTGTATGAATGTTCAGTATGTGTGTTAAGATATATGTTAAAATTGTGATAACCATTTAATCACTTCTTTTACATGTTATATTTGCTTCGATTGATATGTGTTCTTTTGTGTGTGTTTGGGGTTTTTTTCTTTTCTTTTTTTTTAAATTTAGAAGGCCGGATTGTAAATAAGGCATTAGCATTTTTGATTATTTACATACCACATTAATTATTTATTCTCCTGAATTTTTATCTTCACAAATTTATCTTCTATACTAAATGAAATATCATATCATCAGTATACTCTCCTGCTTTGTTTTTTTATGTTAGTGTTTCAATTTTCTTTTTTCAATAAACACTGAACTGTTCATTATTCTAATTACTGTATTAAATATTAAATTATATCACAAAATGTATTGTTTATTCTCTTGCTGTGTTCCTGAATTAATTCTTATCTCATACTTTTGAGCTTATAATATTTCTTATAAGCTATATATATCATAATTATGTGGTAATGATTTTCTACACAGTCTTTCAATACTTTCATCATATTTGAGAATGAATTCTTTGTACAAACGTTTAACATCCTGATTCAAAGTCTGTCATCAAATTAATATGAACTGAAAGCATAATGCCTATGAATACAAAGCGCATGTGTATTTTTAAAGTTCACTTTTCTGTCATTAAAAAAAATCATTTATTCTTGTAATTATTCAATCATTGCTTGTTGATTACATCTGATTACAAATTTTCAGATGTCAAAGATTACGACCAAACACTTTACTGCAATTCTGCACCATGGGCAGCAATTTCTACCAAAATAAAAAAACATGAAATACAATCACACAAGTTCTATTTATTCCTGAATCAAGAAAGATTGCTCAATATTTTGAATGGTTAAAGAAAGTCATATCTATTGTGCTATATTTCCAGGTATTGGTGTGAAAATATGTTTTATATAACTGTTTAAAAAAAAAATGCAAGAGCAAAATCAGAAAATGTTAACCATGTTGGGAAACATGCTAACACTTCTTCGAGTGATATACCTTGTTTATATTATATATAGTAGGGATTTAACGATGATCGAGTATAATCGAAAATTGATCGTTTATAGGACCGATTAGCGATGATCGAATATAAAGTTCAATAATCGATCATCGGTTATTTATCTTCTTGCTGTTACTTAAGTGCCTAACTGTATTATAACAAATCTTTAAATTAAAGCCAGCTTTGGTTTACCCAATAATTTTCATTAAAATGAATGAGAAAGCATACTGGTGACCATGAGGGTAATAGTTGACAGTGAGGCATTCTAGTTTACAGACATACTATGCTCAAATTTGAAATTAGAAAGTTGCTACACAGTCTATTTGTAAATATGAAATAAACATGTTTTGACTTCAAACAAAGAAGATATGTATAAAATTATTCTACACACTAAACTAAAGATGGTTACAATATAAGTATATAGTGACATTAAAAAAACCTGGCATTTTTATTAATGACCAACTTCTCTTGTTCCCATACATAGCTTATTCATTCCTTTATTGGAATTGAGACATAATAATTTCATAGATATAATGAATTTATTTGATTAAAATATTTTACTCAAAGATGAACATAAGCATGAGTAACTAGTTTATTTCAGTTGATTAAGTGGTAGTTACACAAAATATAGAATATTAATGGAATTCTTATAAATATTAAAGCATGGTATGTGCATTGTACATATTTACTTTGTTATCATAAATGTTTCGATTATATAATCGATGATTGATCGAAAAAGGTTGTTCGATTATTTTCGATGATCGATTATGATTTTTGTCCGATTAAGAAACCCTAATATATAGTAAACCGGTTCATGATGACCAAGGGGTGATTATTTTTTGATATTTTGATCTTTGTTCAATTTATTGGCGATAAAAGGCAAATGTGCAGGACAGCTGAATGCTTGTACTTATAAATATATTATAACACGCTTCGATACCAAGTTCATAAAAATAAAGTCGGGAAATAAGAAAAAACCTAGAAATATACCATCTATAAATAATCGTATGCCTGTGTCAATTGATTCTTATTAAATTGCAATGTCTGGTTCGAAAATAATTGAGGACGAATACAGTGGCTGCATATTATTCGCTTTTAACTTAAATCAAGATTATACCATTTGCGTTATTACTTTAAATTTGACAAAAATAGACTAATTGCTATACAATACTATGGGCATTCTTACAAGATGATAAGAAAATACCTAAAATTTTATTTATTGTGTCCTCTTCGTTCTCGGCGCCTTTTCAAGCGTTTTATATAACATTGACTGTTTCCGGTTTGTTTTCGTTTGTTGTTGTTGTTTGTTTACAATGGTTTCCAAAAAGTGATTACTTTTCTATTATTAACAAGGTCTTTATCTAGTGCAAATGATCTACTTTAAATGAAAATATGGTGGATGGTATGTATAAGTACCTAATACATGTAATATCATTCCCAATCTACTCTCAAACCTTTCATTTAAAATGAGCTGTTTATTTTTTTCTAGAAGAGCCTATCGATCACTGCCTGAATAAAATTTAAGTTTCTAACAGACATGTTAGCTAAAGACACTTCAGCGAACAGGTTTTATAGTACTGCTAGACCTTGACTGTGGCACAACGTCAAAATAAAAGCGACATATAAAGTTATGGAAGCCAGAACTACAGACATGTCTGCTGCTGTAAAATGTCAAATGAAAACAATGCATAGGAAAGGATATTGACATTATATATTTCATTAATTATTGTTCATTTAAGATTTAAAAGAGAAAAACCAAGACAGAAAGATCAATAATAATATTTAATTAGGTTAATAAAGGATCACAAATTATCTAATTTATCACTAGATAACTGCAAAATTGGTAAACACTAATAAATTATAGAATGTATTATGATAAACATGTATTAATCAATCCTCAAAGAATTACTAATCATTATAAATATTTACCAAAACACAGTACTTATATAACTAAATGCAATAAAAACTTATTGCTAAACCAAATTGGCTAGGGTGGGTGGGCAAAAAAGACTAGAAACGTGATCACAACTACAAAATAAGTAACAGAATGGCGAGCAAGACCAGTCAGTCAGTTTAAGTTTATTTATACTCGGCGCCGGTATAACCATCTGTCTGAGAATATAGCATCCGTGCCGGTCCACTAGGGTAGTCACATCGGGGACGTCTTTTTCAAGCTGAATCTTCCTGAAGCCTATTCTTCGTTCGTTGGTGGTAGAGGAGTACGACAATACTGGCCAGGCATCAAGTTCCATACTGACGATAACAAAAACGGCTCTCATTAGCGCCAACCCTCCAGAGTTAGTCACGACAGGTCAACCAATCACCTCTGGTACTTAAGATGACTTGACCTTGACCTGCTGTGTGCCTTCTCCGCGACGTGCACGCCTCTGGAGGGATTTGGAGAAGTAAGAGCAAGAGCCATTAAATAACCTATATATAGGTATTTAAACAACCTATCAAATTCAATAACACAAATTTAAATTAATCCAATCAGAAGTCTAAAAAAAAAACGTTGACCAATGAGATAAGCTGATATAACCAGAGATCAACTTGATTCAAATAAAAACATTATCACTCACAAGAATTAATTGATTTTAACAGGTGTATTAAAATACGCTAACTTAGTGTAATTTCATACAAATTGCTATTACCTTTGAAAGTCCTGTAGATTCACCATTAACATACATGTGAACTCTCCCACTTTTAGTGAGAGACTCACACTTTCTGCAGCCATAATTTCAAAGATTTTTTTTAAAATAAGGGGAAATTTCACAAATTAAAGAAATCTCCCTATTTTTGATGGTTAGAACTTCCTTCTTTGTTTATTACAAATTCTAAAATCTCCCTCTTTTTTAAGAAAAATCTCCCACTTGATCATTGAAAAAAGTTCACATATACAGTACGCTCAGTGCGGATTTTGCCTTTTCCGCGATACTGCCGTGGACAAATTTTTTTAACGCGGACAAACACGATGGAGGTCCGCGATAAAAACACTTGTTTCCCCCGCGATCCACGGTGTCTAGTTGTTTCCACCGCGGACCAGAAACCGACAATTGCTGTCATATTATCGGTATAATCAGACATCCGTGTTTCGCGGGGTAACACAGGGGTCAGAACAAGTAAATCTGAAAAAAAACAACAAAAAATAAACAAACAAACAACAAAAAACTTACATAAGTCTACGACCTTGGACATGATTTTATTTCAACATAAAGAATAAGAAATTTATTCAGTTCTTGCATTTTTAAAATAATTTTAAGATGATGTTTATTTTCTCATCGCCAGAACCCACGGTACACTATCCTTAAATACTTTTTTAATACCGATACCGGTATACGGCCAGGATTACTGAGGATGCCTTTTCTTTGATATAAAAGATATTTCTTTGGTTTAGGACCAACTTTATACAGTTTTGAATTTTAACTGTACATTTCTTACTACATCTCCATGTTTATTTTATGTCTTTCAACAAAAATAACAGCACCCCAAATTTTTACAATATACAATGAAATATTAATAGAGTTTAGAAATTTTACTCGTCAATCTACCAAACTTCATATTTATATAGATCTCATTGAGGAGGAGTGCAGCACACAACAATGATAACCTATTCTGCATTATTTTTCAGTTATTGCCCTTTGTTATTTTCAGCCATCAGTATTCACATAGGTTTCAAGTCTGTAATCAGTTCAGCCATCAGTTTTCATTACCAAAAGACCTCTTAAAATTGAATTATTTTGCTCTACTACATATCATTCTTCCAATGAGCAATCACATTGGGCAGGGGATGGCCATGTTAACATGGCTCTTGTTCATTTAAAAAAGCTTGCCTTGATAACATGCAAGTAATCAGAAAGAAGGAAACATGATTGTTTAGATATGTTTTTTTTTATATAAGTGGGCTGAGTTGACCCATGGCGAAATATGTTTTTTATATAAGTGGGCCAAGTTGACCCGTGCCGAGATGACCGCCGAGTTGACTCTTTACCAGATTTTGTTTTATCTGCCGTTTAGACTGCTGTGTTTGACCTCAGGCATTGACCCATTAAATATCCAAAACATACTCATTTCACTCGTCAAATGTTATATATATTGACAAAACACTGATTGACAGTTTCTGAACTAGCAGATGACAGGATACTCTTATCAGTAGACTACTGGAATTGCGAATGACAGCCCTAGTAGAATTGCAAGTAAAGAGAACAGAATTTGGAGGTTACGCATGATACCATGGAGGTTACATACTACATATATAGAAATATTTAAGAAAGGGATAATGGCAAAATTGTTTATTCTTCAAATTTGTGCATTAAATAATTGATCTATTGTATTTTAATAAACAGATTGCAATTATAGTACCTTCAGAGTCCATATTCCGACGACATAAGCAAACAGCTCCGTATATATTGACAATAACAGTATTTCATAGTTAATTAATTTGTTTTATTACTCATTTCTGACTGTGTGATAATCATAAATAGATACAGGTAAAACTATAATATTGCCATTTAAGTAATTAGTAATAATAAAGAAAAAATTTGTTCATTTACTTTTTTATTAAAATTATTTAGCTGTAGATATTACTCTGAATGTATTTCATAGAAATTAGATGAAAATATATATCCATGGTATGTATACTAAATATATGTGGTATGTAACTTCCAAAAATGGTACATAATCTCCTGGTATGTTTCCTCCATGGTAGGTAACCTTCAGTAATCAAGAGAACCTGTTGTGCATCACACTGTATAAATCGTATGTAAAATGGTCTGACTTGTGGTAGGTCTAACTGTAAATTTAAATACCTTTAGTGTCAAACAAAGTGTTGAAATATATAGTGTGACAAAGCTAACATCACAAGCTTTTGTGTAATAAATTTTAAGATCGGGCATGAAATCACCCCAAACAAGCGTTTTAAAAACGGCTAAATTTGTATTGTTTTAGCATAGAGATATCGAACAACTTGTATTTTTTCACTCGATATACATCAGTTATTTACATAGTTCATAATTATAGAGACTGTCAATGGGTGTATTCAGGCTTTTATTCAGCTAAACTTGACAATGAAGAGTGAGCGTAATGAAAAACAAGTGGTTTTGGGTGAAGTTAAAGCCCAAGACCTGATAATGCAATCTACTAGATCAGTATTACGCTTTTATCTAAAAGCAACAACTACATTCCTACATTCACCCAGCTGCAATACATACATGTACACATGTGTTTCAAATGCATGAATTGCTTTCCATTTCAGCAAACAGGTTTAATAGTACTGCTAGTCTGGGCTAGGGGAAACAGCCTTTATCTGGCTGTAAAATACAGTGAAAAAAATCACTGGTCGCACAATGTCAAAATTAAAGCGACATATAAATTTATGGAAGCCAGAACTAGTATTTTGGAGGGTTTTTCACTGTTTCTGAAATTGTCAATTACATAGTCAATGCTTTATTTGACAGAATGGAACTTTGCAGGTTTAGATATGGTTCTCTCATGAAAAGATTTCTGAAAGAGACTGTCTACGATGTGAGAGTTCAGGTGCAAGTGTTTTAAGAATAACTAGTTTTATCTTATTGGAACCATCATGAGACAAGATTTACAGATGACTTACACATTTAGTTCTCTTTTGTTTTGGTATTTATTTGCTGTCAGTGTTAGTAATGATCACTTGATATGTTTACATATGTATATAATACATGATTATTGTTATAAAATGATGTGGTTTCAAGTTGAAACTTCAAACTATTTTTTTCATATTTTAGGTGTTATTACAAAAAACTTGCTTAAGTTAAGAAGTGGAGAGTTTGACTTGGAAAGTATTCACACTGTCATTCTTAAAAACTTAGGTATGTGTAATTTTATAAATATTTAATTTATAGGCTTGAAGCCTTCATATTGATTGGCATGTAGATTTAAGTTAAGGTGGTAGACCTTGTTACACTATGCCCAGCATGTGCTGATAAGGTCAGTGGTTAATGTAACAGTTCTTAGAATGACTTACAATTACAATTATTTATTATCATTATAAACCAAATGGACAGAAATGACATGTTAACACAGATTGTATAGTCATTCTGACTTGCATTTCTGTGCTTTCAGAACAGACTTCAACCTGTTAGCAACTTTGCTTTTAAGAATTTTAATATTGACTCCCTTAAATTCATAGTGTGCAGTTCAAAAGTTAAAGCGACGCCACTGAGGTTTTTTTACATGAAGGGGCTAGAAGTAAATTTCGGAGATTAATGTTCCATTTGATGTAGGTATAGACCAATAACTTGTGTGGAGAAATTCAGATCAATTGGTCACTCTGTTTTTCAGGATAATTATTATAAATGTGAAAAATGACCCCCATATTGTAAAGCTTTTCACTCAAATTTGGCCTAGAATAGCACTAAAATACGATTTTCAATTTATTTCTGAGTATATTTCTTAAATGTCATATGCATATCTTTCTATTTTAAATGCCCCAGCTAACTGATACGGTAACAAATTCAAATTTCATGTTTTTAAGCTTTTGGATCTCAGTGGATCTCCTTTAACACTTTCCCCCATGAGCATATTGTGAAAAATGGCCTTTTTCACTGAAAAGCCTCCTCTTACAAGTTCAAACTGCTATGAAACTATGAAAAATACTTCAATACTAATAAAACTTGGCACAAATGTTGACTGGACCATTGCCTTTGTAACGACATGCTCAGTCTTAAATTTCCTGTTACCATGGCAATGAGGGGACATCTCAAAATTGCCAAAAATCACTATTTGCCTCGATTTTTTCCATCAAAATTTATTTCAAAGTACTGCAACTTCTCAAGGGATTGAGATAGAGTCAAAGGCTTTTCAGCGTTGGTTACACGTTACCTTATGATCGACCTGGGGTCATTTTAAGCCTCTCACAAGTCCAAAATTTTCTTGGCGATGAGGGGGACTCCGCCTCCCTTTAAACCCCCCGAACAGAAGGGGGCACATCCCCCTTCTGGTAACCCCTTGATGTATCTTTTGGATGGGGGGCGGCGCCGAAAAAGTGCTCACTTTTTTAGCAACATTTCTCAAACGAAAACGTGTTTAGGGCCCAAATAGGACATTTTTTCACTATTTCAGGCATAAAAAAGGGGGGGGGGGGGGGGTCGAAAGTGCGTTGTTTCGCGTATATATGAGGTAAAGGGTTAAAGCTACTAATTCCCTCACATGTATTGTAGTTTGGGCATTTTTGAAAAAAAATGTCATCAAAAGATAAAATTTCACCACAGGCTCGTATAGTTAAATGGAACTAGATGATAAATACATGTTTTGTTTGATGAAAAGACATTTATGTAAAGTTTTTACAATCTTGACATGCTGTTATTTTAAAACGTTGCAAGGTTTTATTTTATAAATATTGACTTAAATTACTAGTTTAAATGCACTCATTAACTTGTTGCAAGTTGATCAGGTTGCCAGTATAATAGTTGTGCACTTGGTAAGTTTTTTTTATCCTGCAAAACAATATATCATAGAAAATTAGGTCTTTAAATAGAAAAAAAACTTAAAAGAAGACCATATCTCGAGTATCCAGTTTAAAATTTATTTAAAACTGACATTTAAATAGTAAGTTCTACCTGCATCAAGCTGTCCTTGCTACATGTTATTGGGTGTGATAATAGGGGTGTTTATATCTGTGTCGAGTGAAAAGTAACAATCGTTAAGTCACAGTTACCTCATGGAAACTGTAAATTTTACTTCTGTGCATATTAAGTAACTGTTAACAATTATGTTGATGTTTTTAGCCCCGTTTCAATGTGTGGGAGAGTAGCTTTAAGGCGTGACAAAATCATCCAGCAAAGTCAGAAATTGGATAACTTAGAGATAGATATCAGTAATTAAATTGTTTAGTGCTTATAATTTGAAACAAGTATTAAATTATGTTTTAGCTTCCCACAAATAATATAAATAATATGTATACATTTTTGCAAGATTTATGAGAATAGAAAATATTTTAATGATATATAATATGTAAATTAACACATTGGATTTTGCTTGTGTATTTGTAGATATCAGTGATCTAGGATGTATTGGAGAATGTTCAACATTACAACGGTTAGATGTATCGTATAATAATTTGACAAAGTTACATAAACTTGCTGGACTTGAGAACCTTCAATACCTCAATCTTGCTGCTAACAGAATTTCATCTTTAGGTAATGTGCTCATGTTGTTTAGGTTATGTGGCCATGTTGTTTAGGTAATGTGTACATGTTGTATTAGGTAATGATGTGTACATGTTGCTTTAGGTAATCTGTACATGTTGTTTAGGTAATGTGTACATGTTGTTTAGGTAATATATACATGTGGTACAAGGTAATGTGAAAATGTTGTTTAGGTAATGTGTACATGTTGTTTAGGTAATGTGTACATGTTGTTTAGGTAATGTGTACATGTTGTTTAGGTACTATATATATGTGGTACAAGGTAATGTGAAAATGTTGTTTAGGTAATGTGTACATGTTGTTTAGGTAAAGTGTATGTATTTGTTGTACGTATATTATTTCTTGAAGAAAACACATAAAACACATAAATTAACAATATTTATCTAAAAATCTATTTTTCACTCAATGCACAGTAGGCAGAGATTATCACTGTATCATTTATTGCGAGTATTCTTATTTCCCATGACTATATCATTCTTAAACTTGTATCATTTTCTGCTGGCACTAAACATAGATGTGTTTTCCTACTGTTCTAAGAAGGGAGATAAGAGAGGTTTCTTCTATTGTTTAAGGGTATTACATGTATTATCTCAACTTTTAGTGCCCTCTGACTGAAGAAGTGTAGTTGACAGTTGATCTTATTTATAAATGCAACTTGAATTTACTTATTTGAGAGACTTGCTCTAGAAGAATGTTTGTTTGTTTGTTTTTATGTTCTGGATGATGTTGTTAAAAGAACAGTAATTCTCTGTAAGTTTGTTGCTTCTGAAAAAAAGTATTTATAGTTAAAATACTGACAGGGTTGGGGTCAATCTTCTAACCCCTGATCCCATGTCCCCTCTCTCTTGACGGCTTTCTCTTACTAAATGGGGTCTTGCACTGAAAGAATTTGCAAAGAATTATAAATGATATATACATAAGATTTTAGATAATATTTAAAAATCTTTTACTTGTGTATAAGAATAGCTTCCACTGTCTATACAATTATGTGCATGTTTGTTTGTTTGTTTGTTCATTTCATTTTACGCCTTTTCCCAACAGTATTTCAGTCATATAGGCGGGTAGTTTCCTAACCATCATTCCTGGAGAGTTACACCAGTACTAGACTGCCTTCCTCCGTGCTAAACTACCAAAGCATCTCCCAGGGATCAAACCCACGCCAGAGAGGTAACTGGATTAGAAGTCATTATCTCTAACCACTCGACCATGGAGTGGTACATGTAGTAGTAATATTATTTCATCAATTTCATCCATGCCCTTTCTTTTCATTTTATCAATTGACTTTATTTATTTTTCAGAGGGACTACAAGTTTTAGACAATCTGGAGAAATTGAATTTAGCTGGCAATCTTATTGGAGGGTAAATGTTTTCAATAATTAATATCTTTCCTTGATTTGAAATAGGAAAATGATAACTATTTCAATGCTAGCAGTAATAATGGCTTCTATTAACCTTTTCCCTTATATAAGTGTGTTTCAACAGCTTTCAAGGGGGATGTGCCCCCTTCTGTTTGGGGGGTTTGAAGGGGGGGGCGTAGTCCCCCTCATCGCCAAGAAAATTTTGAACATGTGAGAGGCTGAATATGGCCTCAGGTTGATCTTAGGGTGACCAATTAGTGACCAACGCTGAAAAGCATTTTACTCTATCTCAATTCATTAAGAAGTTGCAGCACTTTGAAATCAGTTTTGATGGAAAATAGTGATTTTTTGGCAATTTTGAGACGTCCCCCCGTTGCCATGGTAACAGGAAATTTACGATTGAGCATGCTGTTACAGAGGCTATGGTCTAGTCAATATTTGTGCCAAGTTTCATCAGTATTGAAGCATTTTTCATAGTTTCACAGCAGTTTGAACTTGTTACAAGAGGCTTTTCAATGAAAACGGCCATTTTTCGCAATATGTACATGGGGTAAAAGGTTAAGTAACCTGTATATAGATAAGTTAGACTGGATAACTTTATAGTCTGACCAAACTTTGTACTGTAATAGCTAAGTCGGCCTCAACACCAAGCAAGTTTGGCTTAGACTTCTGTACAGGTGGAGTTTATACTGTCTATAGCCTGGTTGGCCTAGACATCTGTGAAATCTGAGCAGACTTTGTACTGTCTTTATAGCCAAGTCGGTCTCAACTCTCTAGCCAGGTTGACAGTTAGACATCAGTGCAGGAGAACCAGATTTTGTACTGTTTATTGGCTGCTGTTAGTACATATTTTGATGCTGAAATACATTATGAAAAAAGTGATAGTTTCATTAATTAATTCAAGCAGGGAAAGTTTGCAGAATTCTGGTTGAAACTTTATAACTTTTGTTACAGTGTTTGACTTGTTTTAGAGTAAAGACCTAAAATTGAAATAAGTTAATACCATAAAATATTGTAATTGATTATGGGATATTACATTTTAATATTAGTTTCATTATCTTTTTGTTATCTTACAGGGTTGATTCTTTACGATGCTTGACTGGTTTAGAAAAGTTGTCAAGTTTGCGTTTACGTGACAACAGCAAAGGATTGTCAAACCCTGTGTGTATGAACAGCAATTACATTACAGACGTAATGGCCATATTTCCTAATTTACAAACTCTTGATGGTAAAATATGTAATCTATCATTATCAAAACTGAAATATTATAACATATAATTGTAATATTTCAATCTTACATATTCATGATTACAGTGTATTAGATAAGACATTGTAAGAAGATAAATATGTGATTTGTGAAAATAAACAGAAACTCCTTGAAAAAGAGGGGTTTAACCCCTCGAAAGAGGGGTTTAACCCCTCGAAACGTTGGTGATATTAAAGTTTGTGTAATAGATAATTATTTACATATTCATGACTTTAATTTCAATGATGCTGTTGCCATTTTGAAATTAAAGGGTACAAATAAAAGAGTCATGTAAGATTAATTCTAACATGTTTCACACTATTCCCCTTTAAAACAAATAGGGCAACTAAGTGCATTATCACATGATATATGCACAGCATAAGAAGGAATGCTTACATGTCATATGACATCAGATATGACTTCAATAAACCAAATGATCATGGGAAAATTTCTTAATGTAGTTCAACATATTTTAAATGTTTTAATTCTCTTTTTGTTAGCATATTTAAATTGAAATACAAAGATACTAATTTTTCTTATGGTTTATTGTTCTGAATTGTTACATAATTAATCACGAAGGTGATATTCCTGGGCAATTATACTTGAACCGTGCATATTCTACAAGAATACACTCAAAATTGATATCTATTTCCTAAAGTACATTGTACATAATTATCATTTGTTATATTTCAACATTTGGTTGTTTAGATTTTCTTCATTTGTATCAAAAATTTTAATGATATTTATTAACTGTAGAATACATCAATGTGCTGGTGAAAATATTACAATTTTCTCATACCTCAGTATGGTATATAACATACATACCTCAGTATGGTATATAACATATTCACTAAAAACAAACAAATATCCTATTATAATTGTAATCTAGTTACATGTGTTGAATATTAAGGAGACATGTATGATGTTAGTAAATGTTTTAACACTATAGATGTGTCGTGAAATGATTCAGCATAAAATCTTTAATTCCAAATGTTTCAGGGGAACGATTAAAAGGTAGAGGTAGTGATGTATTCAAAATGTTGAGAGAAATTGATACAGCTCTAGCAAGTAAGTTTTTAACACTTATATATGTATACAGTGTAACTTCTGAAAACCGAAAACACCTGTGGGACTAGCCTAAAGGTTCGGGATTTGGAATTTTCCGGAATTCTGGAATTTTCTGAACAAGAAGTAACATCAAACATGCATGATCAGTTGTTTTAGTGAGATATGAAACCCTGATGAAATTGATAAATGGCAGAATTTTGAGGATTAGTTTATTAAATTTCCACACTAAAAAGGTTTGACATGCTTGGCTGGTTGTGATCATTTTAGATAAATACTGATTGCTAATTCAAGATACTGACATTTTGAAGGTTTTACGATCTCAAGTATAATAATCCTTCATACCTTTTTTCAATTTCCAGATTTTGAAAGTAAATTTTAATTGATATATTCCTAATTTTATTAGAAAAATCGTTTGGAATTCAGACTTTAGAAGTTCCGTTATTCAGTAATTGCATAGGAAACAGAAGAAATTTCTGGACCTGAAAATTCTTTTACAGAATTCATAAGTTACACTGTATATGCGTCCATAGATACATGTTTATTATTAATAATAAAGCAATTATGGCCATCATTATTCAGTTTCATTACTATCCAGTGAGCACTACAGTAAGAGCAAAAAAACTCTTTTCAATAATGGACAAGAACATTTAACTTCAAACTTGCAGTAATAATCAATAAGTTATTTTTATGCCCCCGCCATGTGATGGCCGGGGCATATAGTGTTACCCTGTTCCGTCATTCCGTCCTTCCATCCTTCCGTCATTCTGTCATTCCGTGATCATCAGTTTCCATTCATTTTCTTAAGAACGGTTGCACACATTCAACTCAAATTTGACATATGGATATGTCATGAGAAAATACAGGTCAAGTTCAAATTTGGTCAGAGTTATGCCCCTTTTACTTTGAAAATAATATGAAATTTCAGTTTCCGTTCATTATCTCCCCAACGGTACAACACATTCAACTCAAACTTGACATATGGATATGTGATGAGAAAATACAGGTCAAGTTCGAATTTTGGTCATGGTTCGATGATTTTTGGCAGAGTTATGCCCCTTTTACTTTGAAAACAATATGAAATTTTCAGTTTCCGTTCATTATCTCCCCAAAGGTACAAAACATTCAACTCAAACTTGACATATGGATGTGTCAAAGGAATGCGCAGGTCAAGTTCAAATTTGGTCATGGTTCAATGATTTTTGGCAGAGTTATGCCCCTTTCACTTTGAAAGTAATATGAAATTTTCAGATTCCGTTTATTATCTCCCCAATGGTACAACACATTCAACTCAAATTTGACATATGGATATGTTTTTGGAATGCCCAGGCCAAGTTCGAATTTGGTCATGGTTCAATGATTTTTGGCAGAGTAATGCCCCTTTCACTTTGAAAATAATACATTTACAGTTTCTGTTCATTATCTACCCAACAGTGTTACATACTCAACTTAAATTTGACATATGGATATGTCAAAGGAATGGGCAGGTCAAGTTGGAATTTGGTCATGGTTTGATGATTTTTTTGGCAGAGTTATGTCCCTTTCACTTTGAAAATAATATAGATACATCTTAGGAATAAGCAGTTTAAGTTTGAATTTGGTCGTGGTTCAATGATTTTAGACAAACTTATCTTTCCTGAATGTTGGAAAAATTTTGAACTTTCAGTTTCAGCACTCATACTTTTAGCCATTATTTTGGCTACAAATATGCAATATGCTATTTTTAAAAGGTTAAGACTGAATAATTTCAGTGCCTTGAACATTGTATGAAAATGGTTTGTGTTAACATTGAAAAGTTTTAAGGGCTTTGAACTTAAAATGAAAAAAATAATTAATGCACCATCTGAAATTTTGGCTGCATGCGGAGGCATCCGTGGCATGATGACACATTTCTAGTTTTCTCTAATTTTAATTGTTTTATGGAATGTATTTAATAATATTTCACTATTCAATTAAAAAGATTTGTATAGCTGTATGGTTAATATCACTGACTTAATTACTTGCTAATAAACTTACAATTTAGCTCCTATTAGGGACAATGAATTTTGTGATGTAAGAGGATATTCAGCAAGCTGATGTAGTTATTATAGTTGTATGATTATATCTGACGTAGAACGGTACATCATAAATTTTTCTGTACAGATAGGACAGACGGTGGTGACTCGAGAGAATATGCTGTGGAATCCTGGGTAAAAGACGATTATTGGCAGCCATCTGAAAAATTTGAACAGACCATGCTAGGTGATGCACAGCAACAATTAGAAGGTATTTTAACATAAGTAATTGTCAGACTTTAAAAATAAACAAAATAAACAACTTTATTTCACATGTTTTCCTGCATTGTGGAAGATCTCTGACTGGATAGTTATAGTTTCGAACATAGAAAACACTGAAGTTAAAAATCTTGAAATGATAAGAGATAAGAATTGATAAGAGATTTGGATATTTTATTTAATGAAGCTTTCGTGGCATTAGATAAACTGTGCAGGGAGGCTTTAAGCAATTATAACTTGTCTTTACCAACATTAGTTAACTCAATTTTATTATCCCCCGCCGAAAAGGCAGCGGGGGGTATAGTAATAGTCTCCGTCCGTCCGTCCGACCATCCGTCCGTCCTTCCGTCCGACATTTTTGTCCGGAGCATATCTCTAAAAGTATTTGAGTTATCAACTTGAAACTTCATAGGTGGATAGATCTCACTCAGGAGGTGTGCAGTGCACAAGAATGATAACTCTACCTTTCATAATTTTTGAGTTATTGCCCTTTGTTATTTTTCATACTTAATTTTTCACCTGAGTGGAGCATAACTCAAAAAGTGTTTGAGATGTCAACATGAAATGTCATAGGTGGATATATCTTATTGAGGAGGAATGCTTTGCACAAGAATGATAACTCTTCCCTATACAATTTTTTAGTTATTGCCCTTTGTTCTTTTTCATACTATTTTGTCCGGAGCTTATCTCAACTAGAAATGTGTCCATAGGACACGGATGCCCCCACACGCCACTGTTCTGTCAATCTTATGACTCTAGGTCAAATATTTTTAAGACTACATGTGCCACAAGTTGAAAACTAAAAATCAACAAAGGGCCATAATTCTGTTAAATTTGGTTGCAGCAAAAATTCCTTCCTTTACTACCATCTACACCTTAAGATTGTTCATCCCTGTAAGTTTAAGCAAAATCTGCCACCCGGTTTAAGAGGAGTTGCGTTCACAAAATTTCTACATAGTATATAGTGAAAAAATCAACAAAGGGCCATAATTCTGTAAAATTTGGTCGCATCAAAAATTCCTTCCTTTACTACCATCTACACCTTAAGGTTGTTCATCCCTGTAAGTTTAAGCAAAATCTGCCATCCGGTTTAAGAGGAGTTGTGGTCACAAAATTTCTACATAGTATATAGTGAAAAAATCATCAAAGGGCCATAATTCTGTTAAATTTGGTTGCATCAAAAATTCCTTCCTTTACTACCATCTACACATTAAGGTTGTTCATCCCTGTAAGTTTAAGCAAAATCTGTCATCCGGTTTAAGAGGAGTTGCGTTCACAAAATTTCTATATAGTATCTAGTAAAAAAATCAACAAAGGGCCATAATTCTGTTAAATTTGGTCACAGCAAAAATTCCTTCCTTTACTACCATCTACATGTTAAGGTTGTTCATCCCTGTAAGTTTAAGCAAAATCTGCCATCCGGTTTAAGAGGAGTTGCGTTCACAAGATTTCGGGACGTACGGACAGACGGACGGACTGACGGATGGAAAAGTGCAACGCTATATGCACCCACATTGTGGGGGCATAAAAAGTATTTGAGGTATCAACTTGAAACTTCATAGCTTGATGGATCTCATAGAGGAGGAGTGCAGTGCACAAGAACGATAACTCTACCCTGCATAATTGTTTAGTTTTTGCCCTTTGTTATTTTTCAAAATTAATTTTTGTCCAGAGCATAACTCAAAAGGCCTTTGAGATATCATTATGAAACTTCATAGGTGCATAGATCTAACTCAGGAGGTGTGCAGTGCACAAGAATGATAACTCTACCTTTTATAATTTTTGAGTTATTGCCCTTTGTTATTTTTCATACTTAATTTTTCAATTCAATTTTATTCTCAAAAAGTATTTGAGGTATCAACTTGAAACTTCATAGGTGGATAGATTTTACTGAGGAGGGATGCAGCACACAAGAATGATAACCTACCCTGCATTATTTTTCAGTTATTGCCCTTTGTTATTTTCAGCCATCAGTATTCACATAGGTTTCAAATCTGTAATCACTATAGCCATCAGTTTTCATTACCAAAAGACCTCTTAAAATGGAATTATTCTGCTCTACTACATATACATTCTTTCAATGAGCAAACACATTCGGCGGGGGATGGCCATGTTGACATGGCTCTTGTTATTATCATAAGAAAATCTCATAAACTTACAATGGACCATCCAAAATAGAACAAGTCCATATGTGTAAGGACCAGTGTAATACTAGTAGTTAAATGCAATAAAAGTTCTTGCACATATCCATATGTCTTCAATATAAATGTATAGAATATGAATCAAGTGATGGACATTCATAAGGGCTTCAAGCTACTAAATGGTTAAGTGAGCTGACCCAAACTAACTCTACAAGTAATGGTGTATTTGTATCCTGCAAAAAAATGTAAAAATGTTGTGTTAGAAAACTACTTGTTGTGACTGCGTTTATTCACTCTTTTGTGTCTTCCTGTTATGGTCTTTTAATGTGATTGAAAACATTGGTTAAGTGCCCAGACAGGGATCTAAATTACAAGTCAGTGGTTCCTCTCTGGTGTCAGCTTGTGCCTTAAATAATGCATGGAAAGGCATCTTATGTCATCTTCCCCAAAGAATACTGGACAGATGCCATTTGACCTTAATGTAATAGTCTTGTGTGACTTGAAATCGAACCAATATTGGTATAGGGATTTAGCTGCTATGATTTTAGGATGCAGTTCAAATGGTCTGACACACATTGCATCATTGGGTAGTGTTACACATGTATATGTGGTTGATTTATTCCATATTTAAATAAGTTCTGGGGGTTTTTTTTGTGTGCTAGTCTAGTACACCTTTGAAAAAGAAAATACTTGTCATTGCATTTCATTTTGTATTGTTTTCAATTTGTATTGTTTACACCAATTTGATACAATTTTATTTTATTTTTTCAGAAGTACATCATAATGTAAAAGCTATATTGTTATTTCAGACTTAATGTCAATGTTGTATTTTATTATGCCCCCACTTCGAAGAAGAGGGGGTATATTGCTTTGCATTTGTCGGTCCGTAGACCAAATGGTTTCCGAGTGATAACTAAAGAACGCTTAGGCCTAGAAACTTCAAACTTGGTATGATGATTGGTCATGGCCAGCAGATGACCCCTATTGATTTTGGGGTCAAAGGTCAGGGTCACATTGACCTCTTAGGTAAAAACGGTTTCTGATCAATAAGTAAAGAACGCTTAGGCCTAGGATTTTCAAACTTAGTATGATGATTGGTCATGACCGTCAGATGACCCCTATTGATTTTGGGGTCAAAGGTCAAGGTCACATTGACCTTGTAGGTAAAAACGGTTTTCGATCAATAACTAAAGAACCTTTAGGCCTAGAAACTTCAAACTTATTATGGTATTTGGTCATGACCAGCAGATGACCCCTATTGATTTTGGGGTCAAGGGGTCAAAGGTCAAGGTCACATTAACCTCTTAGGTAAAAACTGTTTCCGATCAATGACTAAAGAACGCTTAGGCCTAGGAACTTCAAACTTGGTATGATGATTGGTCATGACCAGCAGATGACCCCTATTGATTTTGGGGTCAAGGGGTCTAAGGTCAAGATCACATTGAACTTGTAGGTAAGGTTTTCTGATCAATAACTAAAGAATGCTTAGGCCTAGAAACTTTAAACTTGGTATGATGATTGGCCATGACCAGCAGATGACCCCTATTGATTTTGAGGTCAATGGGTCAAAGGTCCGGGTCACATTGACCTTGTAAGTAAAAATGGTTTTTGATCAATAACTAAAGAACGCTAAGGCCTAGGAACTTCAGACTTTGTATGGTGATTGGTCATGACCAGCAGATGACCCCTATTGATTATTTAGGTCAAGGGGTCCACGGCCAAGGTCACATTGACCTTGTAGGTAAGAAGGGTTTCTGATCAATAACTAAAGAACGCTTAGGCCTAGAAACTTCAAACTTGGTATGATGATTGGTCATGACCAGCAGATGACCCCTATTGATTTTGGGGTCAAGGGGTCAAAGGTCAAGGTCACATTGCCCTTGTAGGTAAGAAGGGTTTCGGATCAATAACTAAAGAACGCTTAGGCCTAGGAACTTCAAACTTGGTATGGTGATTGGTCATGACCAGCAGATGACCCCTATTGTTTTGGGGTCAAGGGGTCTAAGGTCAAGATCACATTGAACTTATAGGTAAGGTTTTCTGATCAATAACTAAAGAATGCTTAGGCCTAGAAACTTTAAACTTGGTATGATGATTGGCCATGACCAGCAGATGACCCCTATTGTTTTTGAGGTCAATGGGTCAAAGGTCACATTGACCTTGTAAGTAAAAACGGTTTTTGATCAATAACTAAAGAACACTTAGGCCTAGAAACTTCAGACTTTGTATGGTGATTGGTCATGACCAGCAGATGACCCCTATTGATTTTTGGGTCAAGGGATCATAGGTCAAGATCACATTGACCTTGTAGGTAAGAAGGGTTTCTGATCAATAACTAAAGAACGCTTAGGCCTAGAAACTTCAAACTTGGTATGATGATTGGTCATGACCAGCAGATGACCTCTATTGATTTTGGGGTCAAAATTCAAGGTCACATTGACCTTGTAAGTAAAAATGGTTTTTGATCAATAACTAAAGAACGCTAAGGCCTAGGAACTTCAGACTTGGTATGGTGATTGGTCATGACCAGCAGATGACCCCTATTGATTATTTAGGTCAAGGGGTCGAAGGCCAAGGTCACATTGACCTTGAAGGTAAAAAGGTTTCTGGTCAATAACTAAAGAACCCTTAGGCCTAGGAACTTCAAACTTGGTATGATGATTGGTCATGACCAGCAGATGACCCCTATTGATTTTGGGGTCAAGGGGTCAAAGGTCAAGGTCACATTGCCCTTGTAGGTAAGAAGGGTTTCGGATCAATAACTAAAGAACGCTTAGGCCTAGGAACTTCAAATTTGGTATGGTGATTGGTCATGACCAGCAGATGACCGCTATTGATTTTGGGGTCAAGGGGTCTAAGGTCAAGATCACATTGAACTTGTAGGTAAGAAGGTTTTCTGATCAATAACTAAAGAATGCTTAGGCCTAGAAACTTCAAACTTGGTATGATGATTGGTCATGACCAGCAGATGACCCCTATTGATTTTGGGGTCAATGGGTCAAAGGTCAAGGTCACATTGACCTTGTAAGTAAAAACGGTTTTTGATCAATAACTAAAGAACGCTTAGGCCTAGGAACTTCAGACTTTGTATGGTGATTGGTCATGACCAGCAGATGACCCCTATTGATTTTTGGGTCAAGGGGTCAAAGGTCAAGATCACATTGACCTTGTAGGTAAGAAGGGTTTCTGATCAATAACTAAAGAACGCTTAGGCCTAGAAACTTCAAACTTGGTATGATGATTGGTCATGACCAGCAGATGACCCCTATTGATTTTGGGGTCAAAGGTCATCGTCACATTGACCTTGTAGGTAAAAACGGTTTTTGATCAATAACTAAAGAACGCTTAGGCCTAGGAACTTCAGACTTTGTATGGTGATTGGTCATGACCAGCAGATGACCCCTATTGATTTTTGGGTCAAGGGGTCGAAGGCCAAGGTCACATTGACCTTGAAGGTAAAAACGGTTTCCGATCAATAACTAAAGAACGCTTAGGCCTAGGAACTTCAAACTTGGTATGATGATTGGTCATGACCAGCAGATGACCCCTATTGATTTTGGGGTCAAGGGGTCAGGTCAAGGTCACATTGACCTTGTAGGTAAAAACGGTTTCCAATCAATAACTAAAGAACGCTTAGGCCTAGAAACTTCAAACTTGGTATGATGATTGGTCATGGCCAGCAGATGACCCCTACTGATTTTGGGGTCAAGGGGTCCAAGGTCAAATTGACCTTGTAGGTAAAAATGGTTTCCGATCAATAACTTAAGAGCGCTTAGGCCTAAGAACTTCAAATGGTCATGACCAGTAGATGACCCCTATTGATTTTGGGGTCAAGGGGTCAATGTCATATTGACCTTGTACTTAATGACGGTTTCGGACCAATAACTCAACAACTCAAGTTGCCTTGGTTGAAATTTTTATATTAAACTAAAAATGCTTTCGGTATACACATCTTATGTAATATAACAACTTAGCTGTCATTAATGAGGCCTACATGATTCATAAAATTTATGCATATATTATTTGGTAAGATTTGTAATAACTTAAATTGCTGCACACAACCTATGGGGTCACAATAATTATTACCTTGTGACTAGTCATGACCAGTAGATACTAGATAACCCTTATTGTTTGTTCACTGGGTCAGAAGTCATGCATAATTACCTGATCACATGACTAATTGGCTGCAGATAGGGGGCATACATGTTTTACAAACATATCTTGTTATTTCAGACTTACTGTCACCTTGTAAAAGGTATTTTGTTGTTACAGACTTACTGTTAATGATATATTTTATTATTTCAGAGTTAAATATACTGTAAATGTAATAATTTACTATTTCAGACTTACTGTCAATGATATATTTTACTATTTAAACAAGGGTGCCATAGTCACAAAATACGCCCGTTTACGAAAAAGCTTTAGATGGAGATGGGGGCATTATGGATAAGTGTTATCTAGCAAGCAAGTTTTTATTCTTGGCACTGTGTTGTTAAATGAACCTTAAAACAAATCAATAGGGAAGATATGTACAGAATGTGTGACCTTGACCTTGGTCGCAGGGACCTGAATTTTATGCACGGCACTCAGCCTCACAATAATGAACATTTGTGCCAAATTATATTGAAATCCCTCTATGCATGTAGAAGTTTTGCTCCAGACAAGTGTTTTTCTATGAGCTCTAACTGTGACCTTCACCTTTGACCTAGAGACTTGGTTTATGTGCAGGGCACTACGTCTCATGGTGGTGAACAATTCTATAAAAGTAACATTAAAATTCCTCCATGCATGTAGAAAATATGCTCTGGACAACATCTGGATATTTAATCATCTCCAGTGACCTTGACCTTGCAAATATTAACCTAAATTAAATGTGTAACACCTGTAGTCATGATAGTTACCATTTGTGCTACAATCCATCAATAAATGATGACTAAATGGTCCCTATAACCATCTTCAAATTTTTATCTGAACTTTGACCTCTATGTGTAACCTTGACTTTGGTCGCAGGGATCTGAATTTTGCATGCGACACTCAGCCTCACAATGGTGAACATTTGTGCCAAGTTATATTGAAAACCCATTATGAATGTAGAAGTTTTGCTCCGGACAAGCGTTTTTCAATGAGCTCTAAGTGTGACCTTGACCTTTGACCTGGAGACCTGGATCATGCATGGAGCAATACATATCATGGTGGTGAACATTTCCATAAAGTATTATAAAAAATTCTTCCATACATGTAGGAGATATGCTCCAGACAAAATCTGGATATTTCACCATCTTTAGTGACCTTGACCTTGCATATATTGACCTAAAGTACATGTGTCACAGCCGTAGTAATTATAATGACCATTTGTGTTACAATCCCTCAATAAATGATGATTAAATCGTCCCTATACACATCTTCATATTTTTATCTTTTTTTAAATGGGCGTATAAAAAGTACATGTAATTTAATAACTAAAAAATTCTGATTTAAGATTTTATTCTAGGGAAATACATTTCATTACAATTCTTAATCTTTGAATGAGCTGAACTGATATTTACTTGAAAATTAAAATATAATTAAATTTCTATGAGAAAGTATTTACATTTGATAAGGTAATTACTGTATGATCTTTAAGAACAAATACCAAGTCTACAGAACACCATAGTTATCACAGTTAAGAATCTTGACCAATGAATGAAACATGTGTAAATAAATGTTACATTCTTTAGAACATACTCAAGACCAAGAAAGAGGATTATTTCATGCCCTTTGATTAAATTCTATTTTTAGAATTGAAAGTGAAAATAGATCAAGGGGAGTAATTGTGTAAGTCATTTATGAACAAAGTAATAACTTTGTTGTCTCCCTTTGATTAAATTCTATTTACAAAATCTGGATATTTCATCATCTTTAGTGACCTTGACCTTGTATATATTGACCTAAATTATATGTATCACAGCCATAGTCTTGATAATGACCATTTGTGTTACAATCCCTCAATAAATGATGACTAAATGGTCCATATACACATCTTCATATTTTTATCTGAACTTTGACCTCTATGTGTGACCTTGACCTTGGCCGCAAGGACCTGAATCTTGCACGCGACACTCCGCCTCACAATGGTGAACATTTGTGCCAAGTAATATTGAAATCCCTCTATACATGTGGAAGTTTTGCTCCGGACAAGCATTTTTCAATGAGCTCTAAGTGTGACCTTGACCTTTGACCTAGAGACCTGGTTCATGTGCGCGATACTGCTCCTCATAGTGGTGAACATTTATATGAAGTTTCATTAAAATCCCTCCATACATGTAGGAGATATGCTCCGGACAAAATTGGACGCCGCCCGCCCGCCCGCCCGCCAGGGGCGTTCCCATAATACGTCCAGTTTTTCAAACGGGCGTATAAAAATACTGTCAATGTTATATTTTACTATTTCAGAGTTACTGTCAATGCTCTATTTTACTATTTCAGACTTACTGTCAATGCTCTTTTTTACTATTTCAGACTTACTGTCAATGCTGTATTATACTATTTCAGACTTACTGTCAATGCTCTATTTTACTATTTCAGACTTACTGTCAATGCTGTATTATACTATTTCAGACTTACTGTCAATGCTATATTATACTATTTCAGACTTAATGTCAATGTTATATACATGTATAACTATTTCAGACTTACTGTCAATGATATATTTTACTATTTCAGAGCTACTGTCAATGTTATATTTTACTATTTCAGAGTTACTGTCAATGCTCTATTTTACTATTTCAGACTTACTGTCAATGTCATATTTTACTATTTCAGAGCTACTGTCAATGTTATATTTTACTATTTCAGAGTTACTGTCAATGCTCTATTTTACTATTTCAGACTTACTGTCAATGTCATATTTTACTATTTCAGAGCTATTTCAGACTTACTGTCAATGTCATATTTTACTATTTCAGAGCTACTGTCAATGTTATATTTTACTATTTCAGAGTTACTGTCAATGCTCTATTTTACTATTTCAGACTTACTGTCAATGCTCTATTTTACTATTTCAGAGCTACTGTCAATGTTATATTTTACTATTTCAGACTTACTGTCAATGCTCTAATTTACTATTTCAGACTTACTGTCAATGCTGTATTATACTTTTCCAGACTTACTGTCAATGCTATATTATACTATTTCAGACTTACTGTCAATGTTAAATTTTACTACTTCAGACTTACTGTCAATGATATATTTTACTATTTCAGAGTTACTGTAAATGATATATTTTACTATTTCAGACTTACTGCCAATGCTATATTATATTATTTCAGACTTACTGTCAATGCTATATTATACTTTTTCAGATTTACTGTCAATGTTATATTTTACTATTTCAGACTTACTATCATCATGTAAGAGACTATCAGCTACAGCAGACGACAAATTACAGCAACTTAAAGAATCCTGACCCAAAGTTTAAGATTACAAACATTTAATGTTGGATCTGTTTCTGTGATACATACTTTAAACATTTTAATTTGTGATCAAGGTTTTTAGTTTTTTAATTCGTCCATTTGATCTGCTGATGTCAATTTCTACTTGTGATACATTGTTGTTACATGAATGCAAAATTGACAGCTAATAAATTAATTATTACACACAAAAGAGTGGGAGAGACACTCAATAATTTTATAGAAAAAAATGATGAAGTGAGGAATTTTCAGCAGATAAGACCTTTTGTGTATTTATTATTCACATTACCTGTGCATTGGCTATATACTGTTTATGCGGATCACTAGATTTTGATGTAGACTGAAGAACAAGAAAATATTAAGTAGTTTTTTTTTAAATGCAAGAAAAGTCAATACATAGCTAATTTTCAATCTGAATTCATTAATACATTTCTTAAGACAATAAATCATGTTGGAGATCTGCTTTGTGGATAATATAAAACTGGTGCAATTTTAAAGCTGCATGCCTCCAGATGAGCCAAAATATTTCAAGAAAATCAAACTTGAGAGAAAAATATACAAAATTTTAAAGTACATTTGTATAAAGATTCAAGATTTGAGTAATAATTAAAATGTTGTGTCTGATTGTATTAATCACCATATTTAAACTGCATGACTAATGTGCAGTATGGCCTACTTTTGCATTTCTTGACCTCTTTTGGATTGAATGCGTAAATTACTTTCTTTGCTCACTTCACAATATTTTACTCTTTAAATACATTTTCAAAATATTCATGAAAAGTAGTATGAATCTGGAGGCATGCTGCATGCTTTAAAACATATGGCATTGACCTACAAGCCCTATGTATTGCCACATTGCTATAGTTCATCTTGTGGTTGTTTTTATTAGAGATATTAAATTCATGATTTGTATGTGTACATTTCATTTTGAATTTATACATATATATTATTGGAAAATCAAACCTGTGTTGTAATTTATCTTTGTGAAAGCTCACCAGAATAAAAGTTGCATTGCCTTCCAAATTATTTGATCAAGGGCAAAACAAGTAAGCCATAAAATAATATTCGGTGTGGATAGCACCTCAAAGATGTTTATTAGGTCCAAAGGCACTTGATGGCAAAATCTTTTTAATTTACAAAGTAGATGTATCAATTTTTTAGCTCAACTATTGGCAGAATAATCAAGCTAATGCAGTCACTCATTTGTCGGCGTCCCTGTGGTTAAGTTTTTGCATGTAAGCTGGTACCTCCATAACTACTAATAGGAAATGGATTGAAACTTCACACACTTGTTCTCTGTGATTATGTAACATGTCTGGTACAATACCCATAACTCTGATTTGCTTCTTTGCATAATAATGCCCCTTTTTCGACATGGAAATTCTTAGTTAAGTTTTTGCATGTAAGCTGGTATCTCCATAACTACTGAATGGAATGGATTGAAACTTCAAACATTTGTTCTCTGTGATTATCTAACATAATTGGCACAAGTCCCATAACTCTGATTTGCTATTTTGCATAATAATGCCCCTTTTTGACTGTTAAGTTTTTGTGTACAAGCTGGTATCTCCAGAACTACTGAAGGGAATGGATTGAAACTTCACACACTTGTTCTCTGTGATTATCTAACATGATTGGTACAAGTCTCATAACTCTGATTTGTTTTGTTTTCATAATTATGCCCGTTTTTCGGCTTAGAAATTCTAGGTAAAGTTTTTGCTTGTAAGCTGGTATCTCAAGAACTACTGAAGGGTTTGGCCTTTTTTTGGAACAATTTTATGCATTCATAATAATAAAGCAGTGATTTAACTCGATAAAACATCTTAATAACAAGCCTTTGACCTTTTCGAACAATTTTATGTATTCATATAGGTAAGCATTATTATATGAAACATCCTTGTGACAAATTTTTCGAATAGTCAAGCGTTACTGTCCTCCGACAGTTCTTATTTAAAAGGCACTTCTATTTAATGAGATCAATCTACCTACAAACCTCTTATGGTTTCAGAGCTCTGTCACAAAGTTCAAAGTGTAAAAATAAACAAAGAGCAATTATTCCAAAATATGGCAAGGCAGAGTTACGGTTCTTGTGCACTGCACATCTACTCAATGAGATCTATCTACCTACAAAGTTTCATGTTGATACCTCTTGTTGTTTAAACTTATGTCCCGGACAAATATTGCGAACAAACATGCCATTGGACCATTTCTTTTGTTATATAGTGGGCCATGGCCCCTTATTGTATTTTTAAGGAATGAACTTTTACGTTTATTGTTCTCTTTTGTTCTGTTTACAGTCACATGGCCCCCTACTTCTCTTAAATAGCCTGGGCGGACAGACGGACGGACAAAGCGGCAACTTTATGCTCACCCTTCGTGGAGTATATCAATCATGGTGGGTAGTGATCGGTCACAACCAGTAGTCTATTTGCTTATGCCTATGATAAGGTCCATTAAAGATCAAATTTGGATACAATCATTAACCACAAGAAACATGGCAATGCCATGAAACCAGGTTTTCAATTATCACCATTGTAGATAAATATGTTGTATTTGAAATACAAATACAAGCAACAAACAATGTAACTATGTGCAATGTAAAACATGAATAATGTAGGAGGAATTGCGCACAGAAGAAGTGTTCACTATATATATTCTGTATAAGGAAAAAAAACAAAGGGCCATAATTAGGTAAAAAATTATCCAATCACAAAACCCTGACAATATGCGCCAGGGCACTTGATGACAAAGCTTCTGTGAAAGTTTGGTCAAAATCCGTTGAGAAATGTAGGAGAAGTTGCGCACTGTAGAAATTGTTCACTATATATTCTGTATAAGGAAAAAATATACAAAGGGCCATATTTCGGTCAAATATTATCCAATCACAAAACCCCGACAATATGTGCCAGGCACTTGATAACAAAGCTTCTAAGAAAGTTTGGTCAAAATCCGTTGAGAAATGTAGGAGGAATTGCGCACAGAAGAAATTGTTCACTATATATTTTATATAAGGAAAAAAAACAAAGGGCCATAATTAGGTCAAATATATAACAATTGCAAAACCCCGACAATATGCGCCAGGGCACTTGATGAGCAAGCTTCTCTGAAAGTTTGGTCAAAATCCGCTGAGAAATGTAGGAGGAGTTGCGCACAGAAGAAATTGTTCACTATATATTCTATATAATGAAAAAAAACAAAGGGCCATAATTAGGTCAAATATGTAACAATTGCAAAACCCTGACAATATGTGTCAGGGCACTTGATGACAAAGCTTCTGAGAAAGTTTAGTCAAAATCCGTTGAGAAATGTAGGAGAAGTTGAGCACAGAAGAAATTGTTCACTATATATTCTATATAAGGAAAAAAAACAAAGGGCCATAATTAGGTCAAATATTATCTAATCGCAAAACCCTGACAATATGTGTCAGGGCACTTGATGACAAAGCTTCTGAGAAAGTTTGGTCAAAATCCGTTGAGAAATGTAGGAGAAGTTGCGCACAGAAGAAATTGTTCACTATATATTCTATATTAGGAAAAAAAAACAAAGGGCCATAATTAGGTCAAATATTATCTAATCACAAAACCCTGACAATATGCGCCAGGGCACTTGATGACAAAGCTTCTGTGAAAGTTTGGTCAAAATCCGTTGAGAAATGTAGATGGAGTTGCGCACAGAAGAAATTGTTTACGCCCGCCCGCCCGCCGACATACCTCAATCTAATAACCAGTTTTTTCCTTCGGAAAACCTGGTTAAAAATCATCTCTGAAAGTGACTCAACCCCATTTAATGATATTACTGGAAGTTGGCTTTGATAGGTGGTAACGGGAATAAAAACCATGAATACAAGAGCCTGGTTTGAGCCGGGTGATGCTCCCCGAATAGGTTTTGGACACAGGAAAGTACACCTCTTGTAGTTTCAGAGATACATCTACCTACAAAGTTTCATGTTGATATCTCTTATAGTTTTACAGCTATGTCCAGTACAAGATTTTTCTAAAAGGGGAGATAATTCAAAAATGAGGCTTAACAGAGTTATGGTTTTTTTGCACTGCACTTCTAATCAATGAGATCTATCTACCTACAATGTGTCATCTAATTCTTGATATCTCTTATAATTTTAGAGTTATGTTCCGGTCAAAGTTCAGTGTTAAAATTAACAAAGGGCAATAACTCCAAAATTAGGACAAAAGGAGTTATTGTTCTTATGCACTGCACATCTACCCATTGAGATCTATTCACCTACAAAGTTTCATGTTGATATCTCTTGTAGTTTTACAGCTATCTGCTGGACAAGATTTTTCTATAAGGGGAAATAATTCAAAAATGAGGCTTAACAGAGTTATGGTTCTTTTGCACTGAACTTCTACTCGATGAGATCTATCTATCTACAATGTTTTATCTTGATATCTCTTATAGTTTTAGCTTTATGTTCCGGACAAAGTCAAAGTGTTAAAATTAACAAAGGGCAATAACTCCAAAATTAGGACAAAAAGAGTTATTGTTCTTGTGCACTGCACATCTACCCATTGAGATCTATTTACCTACAAAGTTTCATGTTGATATCTCTTATAGTTTGAGAGTTATGCCCCGGACAAGATTTTTCTATAAGGGGAGATAATTCAAAACCCGGGCAAAATAGAGTTATGGTTCTTTGACACTGCACTCCCCCTCAATGCCCTCTACCACTGTATGAAGTTTAAACAAATTATCTCTAAGGGTTTTCAAGTTAGGCTCCCGACAAGAAAACGGACGGACAGACGGACAAGGCGCCGACTATATGCTCTCCCGAAATTTTTCGGGGAGCATAAAAAACACAACAAAGAAATAAGTTGTGTTTAGAGAAAAGAAAGACAACAGTGTCCAGCTTCAAAGGATTTTGAATTGTAAAATGGGGGTTTAGAAACAGGTACATGTAACAACTAAGTATAATATTTCTGAGAATTTTAAAGATTTCATTTTCTATGTCAATTTTTAGCTCCTGTGACCAACTTTTGCACCAGACTCACTTGAACATTTTATATAACTTTTGTAGCAGACCAACTAATAATCATTTCTGTGTAGGTTGGTAAGAATATAAGTAATGGTTTAAAAGGAGAATCTTTAACAACTATGTGGATAATGACAGACAACAGACACTGCCTTCACAAAAGCTCACTTGTGACAGCTTTGTGCTCAGGTTAGCTAAAAAGGAGGTCCAGGCGTATTCCCTTGTACTAAGATATGGCTTTGGCTACAATTTTTTGTCCCATAAATTCTCTGTCCTAAAATAACAGTAGGCCATAACTGAACAACACCCCTTTGGATTGTGACATTTAAGATTCACCTGCCCTCATCTGATATAAATTCATATCAATTTTGGTTAAAACCAACCAAAGCAGTTCAATACTGGTATTAGGCTTTAGATTGAATAATTTTCTTCCAATTATATATGCCGCTCCTGTGAAGTTTCATCTCAAACTGGGGGATATTTGATAAAGAAGCATCTGCCTATTCACAAAGCCCAGCCTTACCCTTCAGTTCTATGAGCAAAAAAAACAAAACAACAACAATACTCAAGAATACAACTAGCATTCAAACATATTTATTAACAGCATGGCTACATCAAGTAAACAAATATTGTTTTTGTTGTTGCTTTTTTTAAAACAGCATTGTCCATTCAGTCTGATGATAAATAACTAACTTTATTCACAAAATGTTGCACTTCTTTTAAACGAAACTGACACATCTGAAAAAACAAAATAACAAGGAAATTCACTTACATGTACAATGTAACAGAAAAGACAGCTTAGAACTTCTGGATCAATAAAACTTTACCATATATAAACATAAATATACAATATAACGAATCAGGGATAGTAAGGCCAGCATCATTTATGTGTATACCAATCATGCTGCGTCCTATATAGCCATGACATGCATAAAATTATCCATTTACATTTATCAGCTTAACTGATAAGATATTTAGAGCAGCAGTGCCTAGGATTAACAACTAGAGTTCTAAATATCCTATTGCAATTTGCAGCATTTATGATGTGCATCAACATCATACAATATATATAAAACTTTTGGAGATGACCAAAAAGTAATGTTAACCATATAATATTATACTGCAGCCCCTGTTATTAAGCTCAAGTTTGGGCCCAAGGCCTCAAACCAGGTTTGGTATCTTTCTATTGTAATATCTGTGATTATTTAGAGTCTTTGTTTTCAACTGTGATTTAGGATCTGTGACTAACTTGTGCACTAGTGTTTATAAAACCTGGCCAAAATCTATCGAGCAGTTGTGTACAGAAATTGTGAAGAACAATGTTAAACGGCTATTACAAAAGTTTATTTTAAGCTTACGTAAGTTTATAAAAGCAAACCATCAAATAAGAAGTTGCTATAATTATACATACACATTAATAGAATAAACTTGTCCGGCTATTTTTCTTCAGATTCTTCTTCTTCTTGAAACTGTTGTCTATAGTATGGTATTTTCTTTACAATTACTTTCCAGTCTGTGGCATAAAAAAAGGCCAATACTCCTACAGTTCCAAAGGCAATCCCTGTTTTTGCCCTGAAAAAAAAGAGAAAAGAAAAATCATTGGAAAGAAAAATCAGAAGACTATTGTAAATAAGCAAATATGTTGAACTGATATATCTGTCATAATGTCCTCATTTCACCAACTCCGGTGCCAAATTTAGGCATTATCCCCCTCAACAGTGAGTACATAATTATATTTCTCCATTTTTCTTTTTAAATCCCCTCATTAAACAAGAAAAACTTTTATCGGTCTATGTCTGCCAAAAGCAGTCCTATTGATTTTGTTCTTTGCAAAATAAAATATATATGTAAAAAATTGTAAATCTTATATCATAAATATTGTCAATATTTTTTGTATGTACTGTGTAACAAACATTGCCTGAAACCCCATCCCCCCTAAAAGGGGAAACCTGAAAATCCAACCCCTCCCCTCCTACAGGTAGTGTTCCCTCAGCAAAGAGCCTTGAGGGCATAATTTAAGAAACATAAAATGTCTTCAATGAATTTGATGTGAATCATGCAATTTTGATCTAGAAGAAATAAATGTATTCATAAATGTGGCAACTGAATGAAACTTAGTGATCAACTCATTCTAATTCATGTAAAAATATTCCTGTCTAGAAAGATTCTAAGCCACATGTTTGTTTTCAAAACTACAACAAATTCAGGAAAATACGGAAACAGAATAAGGCATGATAACGAAAATGCACGCACACTCATTTAGTCTGGGGTCCTCTAAACTGGATTCAAATGAGGTAAAACAATTGTGTGAACATTACTCTGGTAAGTTTTCACAACAGATCTGATCCAAAACTTTAATGTCCCAGAAGACGAAACAAAAATTGTTAAAAATCAGCATATAATGTCTTGCAAGTCAGAACTACCAAGACAGATGTCCCACTCTGATCATCTCCCCGTGTTTATAACCCTTTGGTCTATATTAAAACAGTAATGTACTACAGATACTAAACAGAATAACTTGAATATAAGACAGGAAACCAGAATAAACTGAAGCAGTGCATAATGAATGGCACTTTTAAAATGGAAAATGTAAAATAAAATTACTGATTATCTTGCACGTTCAAATTATAATGTACTATAATTTTTGTCAAAGAGCTCGCTTTGAGGTTTTACCTTATTCATATTAATGATAGGAACCGGCTAGCTGTACGTGAGTCACCCCTGGGCTGGGGCAAGGCCAATTTTGACCCCAGAGCTTTTATTTGAACAAACTTGGTAGACACTCACACTGACTAGATGATGTTTCATGCCAAATTAATATTTAAGCTCTAGCTCTTTATGTTTTCTAAAAAAAAGATATTTTAAGTTTTTTCTTTCGGTTGCCATGGCAACCAGAGTTCTGCTTAGAATTAAATTCTTTGAATAATTTTAAAGTTGACTACCAAAAGAACATTCCTGTGAAGTTTGGATGAAATTGGCTTAGCGGTTTATGAGCAGATGTTGTTTAAAGTAAAAGTTTACGGACGGACGCCGGATGAAAAGCGATCACAAAAGCTCACCATGTCACTTAGTGACAGGTGAGCTAAAAAACACCGAAAATATTTGTGATAGTAGAAGTTTGTCTATCATTAAAGAAATTGTTTGCATGTTCCATGAAACTCATTTAAAAATTCTATTGTAAGTTCCTGTATATACTTTAATTAAGACTAATTGATTGTGTCTTAATGTTTGATATTTATTTATTTAAAAATACAGTTATACGTACAATTGCTATAATTTGCTCTAGCTGTTGTTTAAAAAAACAAGAAATAACCAACTAGAACTCCGCGAGTCGGATGTGTCGCCTTGTGAACAATGTAGTTTAGGGGAAATGGCCAGGACAAAAATGAAATATGAAAAATAACAAAGGGCAATAACTAAAAAAATAAGTGCAGAGCAGCAGTTTCTGTACACTGCAGTTCTTATCAATAACATCTATTATTCTATGATGTTTCAAGTCCATAGCTTTCATACTTGAGGAGAAATGACCAGGACAAAAATAAAGTATGAAATTTAACAAGGGCCATAACTCAAAAATTAAGAAATGCAGAGTACCGATTCTTGTGCACTGCACTTCTTAATAATGAGATGTATCATCCTATGAAGTTTCAAGTCCATAGCTTTTATACTTAAGGAGAAATGGCCCGGACAAAATTTAAGTATGAAAATAAACAAAGGGCAATAACTCAAAAAATAAGAAATGCAGAGTACCAGTTCTTGTGCACTGCACTTCTTCTTAATGAGACCTATCATCCTATGAAGTTTCAAGTCCATGGCTTTTATACATTAGGAGAAATGGCCCGGACAAAAATAAAGTATGAAAATTAACAAAGGGCAATAACTCAAAAATTAGGAAGTGCAGAGTACTGGTTCTTGTGCACTGCATTTCTTCTTAATGAGATCTATCATCCTATGAAGTTTCAAGTCCATAGCTTTTTTAGTTGAAGAGAAATGGCCCGGACAAAATTAATGTATGAAAATTAACAAAGGGCAATAACTCAAAAAATAAGAACTGCAGAGTACCGGTCCTTGTGCACTGCACTTCGGGTTATTGAAAGAAGCATGCATACCAAGTTTGAAGTCAATCAGACTTATAGTGACTGAGTTATGCTCCGGACAAGCTTTAGGGGACGCCGACAACGACGCCGACGACGACGCCGACACAGACGCCGCCGCCGACACCGCCGACGAGAGTAACCCCTATATGTCACCTTTTCAAGGCGACACAAAAACTGCTTTTCACTGTTTTTCTTCTTCAATGTTCTATTTATTTATTCATTCCACTCATATCATGCCATTATGAAAGTTCTAAGCTTCTTTGGCTGATTTGATTATTTATTCCATGCATTTAATTAACAAACAAGATTGCATCTGAGAAAAATGCTATACCACCGCATTAATACAACACTAAATAGTAGTGTAGGAACAGATTTTTTTTGTTTCTATACAATTGAAGATTGTCATAATGCATAGATCCCTGACCTATCTTATTCTTATTATCAGATTAGTGGTTAAATCTATTGTTAACTCAGAAGGAATATATCAATGCACTTGAGTCTAAATTTCATGACTACATCAAAGGACAACACAGTTAAAAACTTTGTCAAAATCTAGGTCAGCTGATATCAAAGTTCACTTTACATCTTAATCTGTGCACATGGTTCAAATTTCATAGCTGTACATCAAAGGACAAGAAAGTAGGTCACATCATCAAAATCTAGGTCACCTGATATCAAAGTTCAATTTTACAACTAAAACTGCACATTGTCAAAATTTCATTGCTGTAAATCAAAGGACAAGAAAGTAGGTCACTGTCCCCTTGGGCAAGGCAAAATTTTGACCCAAGGGTTTAATTCAAAACAATCTAGATACAGGTCCACCAAACAACATTTCAAGTCAAATATCTAAGCTGTAGTTCTCCTATTCAGAAAACATTTGTTATATTTTCTGTTTTTACTATGTGTACATAATGAGAATCACTGCCCCCGGGCAGGGCCAATTTTGACACCAGGGGAAAAATTTGAACAACTTTGGTAGAGGACCTATAGATGATATAATATAGCAAACATCAAAGCTCTATGCCTTGTACCTTCAATCAAAAATATTTTTTATTTTTTTACTATATGTACATAATGAAAATCAATGACCCCCGGGGCGGAACCAATTTAGACCCCAGGGCTGTAATTTGAACAATCTTGGTAAAGGTTCACTTCCCAAAATCTCATGCCATATATTTAACCTCTAGCCTTTGTCAATTCAAAGAAGAAGATTTTTCAAGTTTTTACTTTATACATATAAGGAAAACTATCGCCTCTGGGGCAGGGCAATTTTAACACTAGGGACATACTTAAAACAACTTAAGTAGAGGACCCATAGATGATATTATATACCAAATATCAAAGCTCTAAGCCTTGTACCTTCAGACAATAAGATTTTTTTATTTTTTACTATATGTATATATTGAAAATCAATGACCCCTGGGGCGGGGGCAATTTTGACCCTAAGGGCTATAATTTGAACAATCTTGCTAGATGTTCACTTCACAATGTTTCATGCCAAATATCTAACCTCTAGCATTTGTCAATTGCTAGAAGAAATTTTTTTTTAAAGTTTTTACTATATACATATCAGGAAAACCAATGACCCCCGGGGCGGGGCCGATTTTGACCCCAGGGCTTTAATTTGAACAATCTGGGTAGACGTCTACCAGACAATGCCTTATGCAAAATATCTAAGCTCTAGGCCTTTTGGGTCTTTACAAGAAGGTATTTTAAGTTTTTACTATATGTACAAAAAGTGAAAATCAATGACCCCCGGGGCGGGGCCTATTTTGACCCCAGGGCTATAATTTGAACAATCATGGTAAGGGTCTACCAGAGAATGCCTTATGCAAAATATCTAAGCTCTAGGCCTTTTGGGTCTTTACAAGAAGGTATTTTAAGTTTTTACTATATTTACATAAAGTGAAAATCAATGACCCCCCGGGGGCGGGGCCAATTTTGACCCAGGGCTATAATTTGAACAATCTTGGTAAGGGTCTACCAGACAATGCCTTATGCAAAATATCTAAGCTCTAGGCCTTTTCGGTCTTTACAAGAAGGTATTTTAAGTTTTAACTATATGTACATATAGTGAAAATCAATGGCCCCGGGCGGGGCTGATTTTGAAGCCAGGGCTATAATTTCAACAATCTTGGTAGAGGTCTACCAGACAATGCCTTATGCAAAATATCTAAGCTCTAGGCCTTTTGGGTCTTTACAAGAAGATTTTTTAAATTTATTCTTATAATTCCTTTTGGTTGCCATGGCAACCAGATTTCTGCATGGAATTAAATTCTTTGAACAACTTTCGAAGCCCTTCACCCAAGGATCATTCCTGCCAAGTTTGGTTGAAATTGGACTAGGGGTTTTTCACAAGAAGATTTTTTAAGTTCACTATATAATCTATATAACACACACACACACAAACAAACACACAGGTGAATCGCTATATGCCACCGCATCGCAGATTCTGCGGTGGCATAAAAATGATTT